GCGGGCATCACCCAGCGGGGCCGGGATTTCTGCGGCTCTGAAGCCGAGGGCTGGACCCCTCCACCCCTCCCTCCCCCTCGGCCACCGCTCAGCCCGGCCCTTGCAGGGAAAAGCGAGGCACGGAGGGGAGGGACGGATTTTCCAAGGTCACGCACAAGGTTTGAGCCAGGGCCGGCTCGGGGAGCGGGAAATGAATCGCAGCGAGCCCCGAGGCGCGGAGAGGAGCCGGGAAGGGGAGGGATCCCCAGGGCTGGGGCTGGGGTGCTGCGATGGGGCAGAGCCCTGCGAAGGAGGGATCCCCTCCAATCCCTCCCACCCCAGCCTCCCTCATCCTCCCGGGAATTTAAACCCAGGATTTTCCCGAGCAGCCAGCACCGGAGTGACCGGCTATAAAAAGCAACTCCGGAGCGCGGTGCCGCAGACCACGGCTACAGAAATAATGATGGCAATAATGTCATTAAAGTCGCGTCAACTCAGCCAAGTTTGGGAAGCGGGGTGTGCGGGCAGAGGGGCTCCGGGAGAGGGGGGACCCCCATCCTTCCCATGCCGAACTCATGCAGGGAGCCCCGCAGCAGACCCAGATTTTCAGGGTGCCCCCCGTGCGTCAGGGTTTGTTTTGGGGTGCGCAGGGTCACCCCGCCCGCAGCAAGGTCGTGCCCGGTGCCCGCCCGACTCGCTCCCCTCTGTCCCTCCGCACCGGCGGCACCGGGACCCGAGACACCCCGGGGGCTCACCGGATTTCGGGGGGTATCTGTAGACGGAATTAGCGGGGATATCCACTTCCTCCACGCCTGCGTTCTGCCGGCTGGTCAGAGCCCCCATGGCCGGGCCGGGCTCAGCGGGCGGGGGGCGGCGGGGACTCCTCCCGCCCGGGACCGGGACGGGGGCCGGGAGCGGGGCTGGCGGCGGCCCCCGCCCGCAGCATCCTCCGCTCGCCGCGCTCCGCTCTGCGCCGCGCCCGGCGCCGCCTCCGCGGCACCGCGGGGCTGCGACACTCGGGGCGGGGCCGCACCGGCCGGCACGCCCTGGCTCGGCCCGGCCCGGCCCGGCGGGGAGCGGAGGGGACGCGGTGCTGCCGGGTCACCGTGCCCCGGTGCCCGCCGCCCAGCCAGCGGCGTCCCCGGCAGGTGCCGCTCACCTGTGCCCCACGCGTGTCCACAGTGCCACCCGCCTGCCATCCCCCGTGCCGCCCAGTAGCGCTCAGGGGCCTCCTCGCCATCATCCGCCACCCTCGGGCTCCCCGAAGTGACTTGTGTCCGGCTCGCCCTCAGCCCCACAGCTGGGGGGCACCGAGCAGCGCCCCCGGCTCAGGGACCCCCGGGGCAGGCTGGCCCTGGCCCCCTGTCCCTGTGGAGGTAACCCCTGAGGCCAGTGGGATGGCAGTGTTTAAGAGTGGGACTTCTGTAGGATTTAGGGGTTTAATTCCGACGGGCGGTCATTGCCCTGCTAGTTCAGGTGCAGGGGCCAGGCTTGAGTGGAAGCCTCCTCCCAAGGGACACCCCCTGCCGCCGGCGTGTCCCCTGCGAGGAGGACAAGCCCCCACTTTTCCCCACAGGTTACAGGGGAAGGATTTAGTGCAGCTGTTGGCACAGGACTGATCTCCTCCAGCAGCATTTTAGGGGTGCACAGCGCTGGGGGGGGCCGGGTTAGAGCCCTCCCAGTGCTCATCTCCATCATCATCATCATCATCCCCACCCTACCCGCAGCACTTATGGAGGCACGGAGCCGCCTGTCCGCTGCAGAGCACCCCGAGAGATTCCCCCAGCCGCCCCAGAGTTAGATCACTGGGAAGCACTGGTCGCCTCCTCATCTCCCTCTTGGAGCCGGAGAGGGAGGAAGGAGCCTCTGAGCGCTCACTTAACCCCGCCGGTGATTAATTAGTCCGGCAGCGCCAGTTAGTGGAGCGTCACATGATTTTGATGTGAGTTGATAACACGAGTGCTATAAATATCAAACGGGAGATGTGCAGGGAGGCGGATCAGCTGCCCCGATGGCCTCGGCTGCTCGGTGCTGACGAGCAAAGGCCGTCCCTGGGGCTCCCCGCTCTGTCCCCTCCCTGCAGAGGGACACACGGACCCCCCTCCCATTCCTACCCACACAGCCCCAGGGGCAGCTGAGAAAGGCCAAATCACAGAGGCTTTGTGCCCTGTTTGCAGCCTGGCACTGTCACACCGGGACCCACATTGCCAGCAGTGACACCCTGTCCGTGCTGCTGGATGTCACACCTGGGCTGGCTGCCAGCAGCAGCACCGCTGGAGAGCAGGATTTAAGACTCCATGATCTGAAAGGTCTTTTCCAACCCCAATGGCTCTCAGAGGAGCTGAGGGCAGCATCCACACTGGGAGCCTGATCCAGCTCTGGGTGCTGGCGCCCAGCTGGGAGTCCCGAGACGGCAGGAACAGATCCCAAACATTTTTGGGGATCCCGTTGTACACGTGGATAATTTAAAGCTCCAGCACAGCCCAGCATTGCCGAGCTGCCAGCCCCACTGCCCTGCTCCAGCCAGATACAGCGGCAAGCTGGGAGAGGGAGCCAGCACATTTCATTAGCGGCACCGAGCAGACTGCAGGGCCTCAGTGCAGATAATAATTCAAAGTTCTCCCCGTGCAGATCCATAACCCGGCAGTCATTACACGCAGAGCTGCTGCCTGCATGCACGGCTCGTGGTTTTTTTCCCGGATTGCTGCAGCAGAGGATTTTGTAGGGCAGTGCCGCAGTGGAGCGCGGGAGACAGCGGCTTCGAGGGCAGGGTCCCTCCCTGCTCTGCCCGGCTGCACCTCCCAGCACTCATACAGCCAGGAGAAACCCCAGCAGGGCTGACCCGGAGGGGCGATCCAGAGAAAATGCAATGTTTGAACCCAAAATGCACGTGCTGCTGGGCTGGGGGATGTGGGATGTGTGTGTGACACAGAGAGGGCCCCTCCTTGTGCTGAGAGGGAAACTGAGTCACGGTAGAGCACAGGAGGGCGTGCAGCCCACCCACAGCAGAAAAGGTTTGTCTGCACAGCCACTCCATTCCCAGTTCACCCAGCATGAACTGGCACAGACTGGGGAAGCAGCAGAGCAGCCCCTGTGCTCCTGGGCTGGCTCTGCTCTGTGCTGTGGGAGGGGGTGACCCTTCCTTGGAGCCTGCCCAGGGCTCCACAGCTCCTGCCTGGGGACGTGCTGGGGGTCCCCTGGCCTGCAGGAGTGACCCCCAGGGTCCCAGGGCAGCACATCTCAGCAGGGAGAGGTGACAGCGAATCCTACCCCAAAAAGGGATCATTTTGAAGAACTCAGTCCTGCTGGCTTCTCCAAGTGTCACCAGCACTGCTCTGTCACAGCTTTGGGTGCCAAGGGCCCATGAGCTGCATTCCCAGGGGTTTGCCATGAGCTGCAATTCCCCCGGCTTTCCCAGGCCAGCTGCTCCCAGCTGGAAGCTGTGCTGAGCCCATGGGTGGCCTTGGCAAGCAGGAGGTTCTGAGAGCTCGCCAGGGCTGCCTGCAGAGCCAGGTGGGTCTGGGATCCCTGCATCTGCCATTGCTCCTCTCACACCTCCCCTGCCTCCAGGCTGGTTTTTGCTCCAAGAAGACAAAGCCACCAAAATCTTGCTGGGCAAGCAGGGCCCCGCACAGCCATCGCTGAACCCCAGTGGAGGGAACCCCCTGAATATCCCAGGAGGATTCCAGCCTGGCAAACACAGCCTGGCATTGCTGGACTGCACCTTTGTGGGACCAGCAGGACTTTGCAGAAGCCCCACAGAGGCCTCAGTGCTGGGGGCAACCAGCTGCAGATGCAGCTTGGAGTTTCCACTGCTCTGCCTCCTCATTCCCTCTGCCCTGGTCACCACCACCACCACATCCAAACCTCCCATGGCTCATCCCAGATCAACCTATTTTCACACCATGCATTGGCAAAGTCCCTTCTTTATTTGTTTGGGGTTTAAATGCCAATTTTGCTTTTCTAATCAAAACACTTCTAGGCACGAATTGCACAAGTCCCACTTGGATTCACCAACCTGGTGTGGGGAGAGTTCATCCTTGCAGGCTGAGACTGGAGCTCCAAGTAATCAGGATTTTAACCATTAACAAAAAAATCCCAACACCCCCTTCCCCCAAACTGGGAGCTGCCCTGAACCCCACAGCCTTTACATGGGAGGGGTGTGGGGATGAAGAGGATGGGTCCCTGCTCCTGCCCCTGGCATCTGGTCAGGGTCCCATCCCCAGGGGAAGCTGTTCCCAGATGGGAGAGACAGGCAGGGGGTTAAGGGGAGGGGGCAACAGGGTCCCAAAAAAGGAGGAGATGAGTACGGGGGGAGCTTTGCTGAAGGAAGAGAGGAGCCTTGAGAAGGGAACGAGGGGGTCTGACTGGGGGTTAACAGGGGTATCCAGGGATGGGCAGAGCCCCCCTCTCTGTGACCCCCCAACAGTGAACCCCCCTCTCCAAGAACCTCTCAAACCGAACCTCGCTCAATAACCCCTAAACAGCTCCCCTCAATGAACGCCCCTAAACTGACCCCCACCTCAATAACCCCTAAACAGCTCCACCCAATGAACGCCCCCCAAACTGAGCCCCCTAAAGAGCTCCCCTCAATGAATACCCCCCAAATGAATGCCCCCCAAACTGACCCCCTCAATAACCCCTAAACAGCTCCTCCCAATGAACCGCCCCTCAATAACCCCCCAACATCTCTCCTCAATGAGCGCCCCCAAGCCGAGCCCCTCTCAATGAACCTCCTCAATGAACGTGACGTCACCAACGCCTCACGATAAAACCCCCGCACAGCCAATCAGCGCCCGTTCTCCCTCCCGCCTGGCCCCGCCTCCACCACCCCCAACCAATCGCGGCGCCGCCTGCAGCCAAAACACAGGCGTTGGCCAATGGGGAGGCGCCGGGGCAGCTGGAAGGTTCGAAGCCGGCGGTGGGCGGGGCGCGGGGCGCGGCGGCGGCCAATCGGCGCGCGGGGGCGGGGCCGGCGGCGCCCCCCGGTCCCCCCGGTGGAGCGCGGCGGGCGCGGCGGGCGCGGGGCGCTCCGGGCGGTGCGGGCCGGGCCGGGCCGGGGCCGCCCCGCCATGTCCGTCAACATGGAGGAGCTGCGGCACCAGGTGATGATCAACCAGTTCGTGCTGGCGGCGGGCTGCGCCGCCGACCAGGCCAAGCAGCTGCTGCAGGCGGCACACTGGCAGTTCGAGGTACGGGCCGGGCCGCCGGCGGCACGGATCGGGATAACCCGCGCGAGAACAGGGGCGCCCCAGGTCCCGATCCGCCGCCCGCCTGGCCGCAGAGCCGCGGGGCGGAAGGCGGTGGGGGTGGCGGCAGGCCCGTGCGGCCCCGGCTCACCGACACGCGTGGCCGGGTTTGGGGGGGGTCCTGCCCGGCCCCCCGGCACCCACGGCGGGGCGGGGGGCGCCTCGGGCCCAGGCTCCGCCGGGTCTATTTATACCCGGGCCGAAACCCGAGCTGCGGCCCAGCGGGCCGGCCCCTCCCTCCCGCTCCGGGCTGGGGATGGGGGCGCCGCGGGGACGGAGGCGGCGGTGTAAACACGGGATCCGGGGTGTAAACACGGGGTCCGGGGTGTAAATACGGGCTCGGGGGTGTAAACGCGGGCTCGGGGGTGTCTCCTGGCCTGGGAGCCCCCGAGCGAGCAGGGCACACGGTCTCCGGTGGGGCGGATGAAGGGCAGCCCCTCGGCGTGGCAGGGCCGGGCACCCCCGGGGCGGTCCCGGGCGGTGGGAGCGGGCGGGGGGCTGCGGGGCGAGCTCTGGGGGGCCCCTGTGGTCGCTCCCCCTTTGTCTCGGGTGGGCTGCAGCTGACAGCTTGTCCCCACAGACAGCCCTCAGCGCCTTCTTCCAGGAGACCAACATTCCCAGCAGCCACCACCCCCCCCAGATGGTAAGTGGGACCCCTCCCTCACCCCTGCACCCCCATCCCCTCCCCATCTCCCCCAGCCCCAAAAACACCTTTAGCCCCTTCCCAGCACCACCAGCCCCCCCATACCCCCCCGCCCTACAGCAGCACCCTCCCCACGCCCCCAGAGGAGCCCCCCATGCGGAGCCCCCCGAACGGTGCAGCCCCAGCCCCGGAGCTGTCAGCTCCTGCCAGCCATATTGCCGGGCGCCCGCAGGAACACGCAGCCGGGGAATGTAAACACGAGCTAAAATGTCTGCCAGGAAATAGTTTGTCTCGGCGAGCATCGCGCTGCAACCTGGGCTCCCCGGGCCGGGGGGCCGCGGCTGGAGCCCCCATTCCCCCCACGCCGCTTGACCTTGGCCGAGGGCACATCCCCTCGGCCGGAGGGAGGAAGTTGTTCCCCTGCGGGTGTTTTGTTTTGTGTTTCTCAGGGGTTTTCTTTCTTGTTTTCCCTCTCCCCGCCCCCCCCCCCCCCCCCCCGCCGCCATCCTCCAGTGTTGGGGAACTGAGCGGTGCCGCGGGTCGGAGTTAGCGTGAATTTTCCCCCTTTTCTCGTTCCATCGTTCCCCCATCTCGTTCCATGCCAGCCGGCCTGGCATTGCCGGCAGCGAGCGCTCGGTTTCCCTCGGAGAAAGTCGCTTTGTCAGCCAGCTCGCAGTAAAAGCCCTTTTATTGCAGTTCCTCCCCAGCCCGCGCGTTTCCGTGCTGCCCCGGGCACCTTGCGGGGTCTCCCGGTGGAAAAGCCGCGGTCCTGGAGGGAGAGGGGCCGGGGGAGCAGATCCAGGCCCTGCCGTTCCCACCCCAAAGCTGGGAGGGCAGATCCAGGCCCTGCTGTTCTCACCCCAAAGCCCCATCAGAGCAGTTCCAGCTCCTGCCGTTCTCACCCCAGACCCAGGGGAGCACATCCAGGCCCTGCCGTTCCCACCCCAAAGCCGGGGAGCAGATCCAGCCCCTGCTGTTCCCACCCTAAAACCCTATCAGAGCAGATCCAGGCCCTGCTGTTCCCACCCCAAAGCCCCATCGGGGCAGGATCCAAAGCAGGGCTGGGAGCCCCATCCCGGCCCCATTCCCCCCACCCTGAACAGGCACCCATTCCCCCCCAGACCCGAGCCACTCGGTTCTCCCCCTCCCCAGCAATGTTTTCATAACACCGTGTGCTCCACGTGGTGTCAAAATACCTTTTACCTTCTCTGCAGACCCTCCTGTTTTGGGGAGTTGATTTGGTGTTTCCCTCCCCCTCCCCAGCACCCTGATGGGTGCAGTTTGAAATGCCCCACACGTGAGATGAGGACTTTGGCGCTGGCAGTTTCTATTTCTCTTTCAAGCGTCAGGGAACAAAGCTGTGAGTGTGGCTGTGGTTTGATAGGTGATCCCCATCACCACCACCCCAAGGGGAGCTCCCCACACTCCCCAAGCCCCCACAGATTCTGTGGGGCCAGGAGTTGCCAGAGCTGTTTGGGTTGTCAGTGACCGACCCTCTGACAGCTTGGAGGAGGAAGGCAATAATTACATGGAAATTCTCATGTTTTAATTAATATTTCAAATTAATCTGGCAAACATCACCCCAGAAGCTCAGAGCTGTGTCCAGCATCATTCCAGGCCTGCCTGTGGTGGTGGTGGGTTTTTTCCAAAACAGAGCAAATTTAAGGTTTTGGGGGTTTGTTGATTTGTTGGGGCTTTTTTTCCAACAAGTATCTTTTCAAGTACTGCCACATGTATAGGTTAATTTAAAAAGCAAAGGTTGGGTTAGCACCACTTGAAGCTGAGCTCTGAAATGAGTTCTGTGGAGGAATATCCCTGGTTAAGGATGAACCTGTTCAGTGCCAGCCAGGCCTGATTGCATTTTTGGGGTGCCCCAGCTCCACAGGCTGATGAGAGCCAGCTGCTGCTTCCCTCAGGCTGGGGTGCACCCCAGCTTCAGGGGTCTGGGCCCCCCAGCAAGGGTTTGCTCCTCTGATCCCAGCATCACTCAGGGTGGCCAGGATGGGGATGAGGAGGAACCTCTAAGAGGGATTTTGGTGTGGGGCAGCAGGGGCTGTGAGCACCAGCCAGGGGCAGATCGTGGGATAAACCCCAGGAAGGGGGAGATGAAGAAGCCATTCCCTACCAGAAACATTTCAGTCCTCCATTGCTAATGCAGCAGACACTGACCAAGCCCCTCAACTCTGCTCAAAGTCCCCACAAACACCTGTCAGGAGTTGTGGCTCTAGGAGGGCAGCAGGGATTTGGGATGGGTGTGACCAGAGGGATGAAGTCTCCCTGTGCATGGACCCCCCATGTCCAGGCATCCCCCTGCCCACAGCCCCTTCCCTGTGTGTGCAGCCCCATGGGAGTTGGATACACCCCCCTGTCCCCCTTTAACCCCTCCCCATCCTCAGCTCAGCCAGTTCTCTGCTGGTTTGGGGTCCCTGTGCCAGCCCCTGAGCAGGGCTGGGTCCTCCCTGCTGGATTTTTCCTCTGCTGGAAAAAAGGGACGGATCCATCACTGTCGGGGTGCTAAATTTAGCTGGGTACCAAGAAAGCAGAGCCTGTACCAGGAACTGGGGGGGCCCTGCTTGCCTTTTGCTCTCTCTGCCTTAATGGGGTGTGAAGGGGACCAGGGTGAGGAACCTGGGGGAAAGGGGATCCTGGTAGGACCCCAGCACCCTCCCTACCCTCTGTACTGGACCCCTTTGTGCCAGCCCTGTTTGTGCTGCTCCCCAGACCCACCTCATCTGTGGGCTTTGAGCATCTGGGATCCAAATGTGCTTCCCAGACTGGCTGGAGCCTCTCCCCAGGCACCCCACACCTTTGGGAGAGGCACACAGACCCCTGGGTGTGGATGTGAAAGGGAGTCCTGTGGGGCCAGGTGGGACCCTAGCATACTGTGCCAGCCCTGTTTGTGCTGCTCCCCAAACCCACCTCATCCGGGGTGGCCCAAAGGAGTCTGTCCCCCATCTTTGGGGGTGCCACACAGACCCCTGGGTGTGGATGTGAAAGGGGGTCCTGTGGGGCCAGGTGGGACCCCAACACCCTCCCTGCCCTGCATACTGTGCCAGCCCTGTTTGTGCTGCTCCCCAAACCCACCTCATCTGGGCTGGCCCAAATGTCCTTCCCAGACTGGCTGGAGCCTCTCCCCCCTCTCTGGGGGTGCCACACAGACCCCTGGGTGTGGACGTGGGGGGTGCCAGGTGTGGGATACAGGTCGGATCCCCAGCCATGGATGGGTTGGAACCCCAAAAACCCCCCCTGGGCGGGTTGGGACCCCCAAATTCCCGCCGTGGGTGAGCTGACAGCCCCGTTCTCGTGTGCCCTGCAGATGTGCACCCCCAGCAACACGCCGGCCACGCCGCCCAACTTCCCGGACGCGCTGGCCATGTTCTCCAAGCTGCGCACCTCGGAGAGCCTGCAGAGCAGCAACAGCCCCATCACCTCCATGGCCTGCTCCCCCCCGGGCAGCTTCAGCCCCTTCTGGGCCTCCTCTCCCCCCAGCCACCAGCCCTCGTGGCTGCCCCCGTCGTCGCCCACGGCCCACGGCCTGCACCACCACCTGCACCACGGGCAGCCCTCCTGGCCGCCCACCCCCCCGGCCCCCGCCCCCCCACAGAAAGCCGTGGCCACCATGGATGGGCAGAGATAAGGCTGGGGCTGCCCGAGGGCTGGGGGGGGCGGGGGGGGCCGGGCCGGGGCGTTGGGGGGCAGGGGCTGGCCGAGAAACGCACTGGAATCATTTTCTAGGTTTTATTATTATTTTTAGAGGAGGGGAGCACATGCTGCCAGGGAGGGCGCTGAGCTGTGAGAGCCTCTGGCTGATCTCTACTCCCCTCCCCTTTTTTTTTAAAAAAAAATATATAACTATAATATATAAATATATCTAATGTATATAGATCAGAGAGAAGGAGCAGCAGCGTGGAGGCAGCTGCTGGGTGTCTGGGGGTTTTCCCCGTGGCTCTGTCCCCACCCAGCATCTCTACATCAGGGCAGGACAGGAATAACAAAAATAAATGGATGGAGGTGGCTGTGGGCCCCCCAGATCAGCCACACAGACATGGAGCCACTGGACACCGTCCCCAGCTCTGGCTTCCCTGGGCATTTGTTGCAGTGCCCAGAGCAACAGCAGCTCTCTGGCTCCCCAAATTCAGCCCAGCTTCTTGCACAGACCCCCCTGGACGTGCCCCCAACCCCATCCTCCCTCCCTCAGCACCCCCAGGGCCTGGGGGTTTATCAGAGTGATGTCCCCCTGTCCCTGTGACCGCCCTACGTGGTGCTTCCCCAGGCAGGGGGGAGCTGGGGGTTTTTTAGTTTTCAAATCAATGTTGCTTAAAAAAAAAACAGAGAGAAAAACAAACCAAAAAAAAAAAAAAGATAAAAAAGACCCAGCAAAAAAACAGGTTGAAGGTTTTTTATTAATTTAAAAAATAATAAAAACTAAAAAAAAAAAAAAAAATCACTTTTTTAACACCAGCTGTCCCTGCCTTTTCTCTGTGCTGGGAGGGTGTCCCTGGCAGGGCACTGAAAATGGGGGTGACTGCTCTGACCCCTCAGTGGGGACTGAGTGTGTGTGCACAAGCCACCACTGCTGTCCCCAAAGAGGAGGGATCAGGGGCAAGGGGAGACCCAGGGCAGCACTGTGAGGAGCCCCCATGTGCCAGGGGGTGCAGCTGGCACCCCTGTCTGTCCTCTCACAGCTTGAAAAAGCCCCCCCAGGCCTCAGCACTGTGGGGACACTTGGGAGGGGATGGTGGCCTCTGAGTGTCCCCTCTGCAGAAGGGTCACCAGCCTGAGGACATGGGAGCTCACCAGGCCCGTGGTCACTGCATTCACACACCAGACAGCTGGGGCAAAACCCCAAAAGTGGGAGCACAGCAGCTCTGGAAGTGTCAGGGATGCCAGGGAGGCTCAAGGCACAGCCCAAAGCTTCCTGCAGGGATGGGGAGGTGCCCAGGATGGCACAAACTCCAAGGGGAAAAGGCAGAAAAATCCATCTGGGGTTATTTACCTGCTCCAAAGATCACCCAGGGCTGGGGGTGTGTTCAGGGGGTGCAGGGGGTGTTTACAGGGTGCACCTGGATGCTGGGGCAGCAAAAGGGCAGGGGGATGGTGAGCACCACAGAGGAGAGCCCAGCTGGGCCATGTCCTGCAAGTCCAATTAGTCCTAAATGTGTTTTTAGGGCTCAACCCCAGCCAGGAGTGCAGGATGGTTTTTGTTGGCTCTGCTCTGGTTTGCTCAGAGTGTTCCCAGTTATCCTGCAGGAGGTGGCACTGGGGAGATCCCAGATCCAGCTGTGTCCACCCCAGTACCCCCCAGAGCAGCTTTGGAGCACCTGAAAAACCAAACCCAGCAGGGAGAACAAACAGACAGCAGGGAGCTGCCAGGGATGGAGGCTGTCCCTCTGGGAGGAAGGTTTGGGGACATCCACCAGGAGGGCAGGGCAGCCCCAGGGGATGTCCCCCACAAGCTCTGGGTCCCCCCCGTGTTCCAGTGGGGTTCCCCTCAGCGTTTCTCACCCTCCCACTCACCCCAGAGGTGCCACCGCCTTTGTGTCCCCAGGAAGTGTCACTGCCTGTGTGTGGAGGGGACATCCCCAGCCCCCTGTGCACGCAGCCGTGTGTCCCCAGCTGTGACACCCCTCGGGCTCCAGGGGTGTCCCTGCCCGCTGTCTCAGCACACACAGGACAGGGTGGCACAGGGGGCTGGGAGAAGCAGCCCCAAGCCTTGGGGTGGCACCAGGGCAAGGAGGGGACCCCAGGTGTCCCTGTGCTGTTGGTTGGAGGTGGCAGCAGAGGGGTTTGTGCCCTCGGTCAGTGGCAGCGCTGTGAGAGGAATGAGGGGGTGCCAGAGGGGCTTTCTTCACTCGGAGGGGAGGAAGGCAGCTCAGCCATGCTCATCCCAGCGGCTCGGGCTGGGATTTGCTTTTGGCATCAAACTGTGCTCTGCTGCTGCCCTTCCCGCTGAGGTCCCCATTTCCCCTTCTCCAGCAGCAAATGAGCCCCTCCTCCTCCTCCTCCTCCTCCTCCTCCTCCTCCTCCTGTCCCCCTTTTGGGGCTCCCCTGGCAGGGCACAAGTGGGGCCCAAGTCAGGCCAGGGTTTGCTCGACCCCAGGTTGCTGACACAGAGCCTGGGTTCCTGTTTGCAGGACAGGGGACGCTGCCAGCCCCTCCTTGTGCACGAAGGGCAGATCCGCTCCGCTCAGGAGGCACAGGCTGTTGGTTGGTTACCCTTTATTTCTGCAGGCCGGCGTTGCTCGCTCATTCCGGGACCATCCGGCCCCGGTACACGACTCCGTCCTTGCCCATCAGTTCGTACGTGCCGGGCTGGGAAGGAGGGCATGGGCTGGCTCTGCCGCGCTGGGCTGCGCTCAGCACCCCCCACCCAGCTCCTCCTGGGGACACTGAGGCACAGACGCTCCCCCAGGCGCTCAGCACCACTGTCCCAGCCTCGGTGTGTCCCCTCCTCACCCATCCCTACCAGGTTGGGGTCCGGGAGCAGGGGCTCCATGCGCTGCACGGGGCTGACGCTGGTGTGTTTGCCGCCGGAGTACATCGGGGAGCGGCGGGTGTAGCCGTCGGCTGCCTCGTCCCTGTGGGACAGGGCACAGGCTGCTCAGTGCTCAGTGCCCTGGCACCCTGTGCTTCAGCCTGCCGTGCCAGGGAGGGCTGCAGGGGGTGCTCCCCCTCATCCAGCTGCTCCAGCTGGTGCCTGGGGCTGTTCCTCCACAGGAGAAGGACCTTGCACTTGCCTTTGTTGAACTTGGAAATGTTCCTCCCCAGGCAGTTCAGCCGTGCCCACCCAGCCCTGCAGGGTCTGCCCTTTCCCCGCAGCCCCACGGTGTGACAGGTCCTGGTGCCCTTTGCAGGAGGCAGGAGCAGCGCTGTCCCAGCTCCAGGGCTTGATTTTGGGACAGGAAGCACCAAGTCCCCCCCAAGCCTGAGCTGAGGCTGACACCAGGCACAGCTCATCCCGTGTGGCTTCAGGGCCTGGCAGGGCAGCACAGGGGGCTGCAAAACCCCTCTGACCCCAGCTGCCCTCTGCAGCTCCTCCCTGCCTGGGCACCTCCAGCCCCCAGGGAAGAGCTCTGCCTGCTGGGCCAGGGTCCCCAGGGCCAGGGGAGGGTCCCCATGTCCCCCTACCTCTGGTCCGGCCTGCGCAGCCGGGGCACGCGCATGGAGAGCCCGGCGGCTGCCGGCGGCGTGGACGGGACGAACCCAGGGCGTCTGCGAGGGTGACAGGGGACACGGGTGGGTGACAGGGGCCACACGAGGCAGCCCTGACGCTGCAGGGCGCTGCCAGCACCCATGTGCCCCTGTCGCAGCCTCTTGCACTCACTGTGCAGACATCTTCACCAGCGGGTCGCAAGGTGCGTACTCGGCAGAGGGCACCCTCAGGAACATCCTAGAGCAGGGAGAGAAGGGCTGGGCAGGCACTGCCGGGAGTTCCAGCGTTTTCAGGGGAATCGTGGGGTGCTGAGCCTGAATTCTTCACCACCACCACAGCACAGTCCAACCACCACCAGGCTGGTTACAAAATAAAGGGGCTGTTGTGGGGGAAATGGGCAATTTGTGGAGTCCCACCTGGGACAAAGCTCCAGCTCATATTGGACAATGGTGAAGCTCCCAAAACCCACTGCTATGGGAACGGCTCCCAGGGGCAACCCAGTCCCATGGCAAGGGGACAAGGAGGGGGTTCCTGTACCCCCTGTTGGTGTGGGATGCTTCCAGCCTGGGACACGCTCACCTCGGTCTCACTGGTGCCTCCAAAATAATTTTGGGTGGCTGCTCATGGACCCGCAGGGATGGATGGGAGGTGGAGGGCTGAGACTCCCACAGCTGTGACTCCCACACCATCCCAACCACCCTCACACCTGTGTTCTCTCTTGCTCAGCACCCAGGACCCCCCTGTGCCCTGCCAGGAGGGCAGATCACGACCTGGCTCTGGCACTGCGTGTCCCAGCCCTGCCAGGGGACAAGCCACCGTCCCCCACACTTGTCACAAAAGCCTTTGCACCTACATGCCAGGTTCAGCTGGGTACGCCTCCATCCTGAGGCCGCCTTCTCGAGGTTCCTTGGGTGCTGGGAGCCTGCTGCCAGTGGGAGGAAACCCTCATCAGCATCCCCATGGTTCCACCAGTGGATAAATGGGTCCCACGCCAGGGCACCACATGGGCCCAGCCAGAGGGAACAGGGCCAGTGCTGTCCCCAAAGCCATTGCTGTCCCTGTGGCACTCACCTGCTGGGCCCAGCCACGCTCTCAGATGGCACCCACAGGTCCTGGGATCCTGGGACGCCTCGGACTGACTGCACCCTCTGGACTGGGGCACCGCTGCCAGGGGCTCCTGGATGCATTTCTGAGGTGGTGCCATCTGCAATCTTTGTCTGAGCATGGGGAGGAGCCTGAGCAAACAGAGCAGTGTTTCAGCCCCAGCTCTTGCCCCCAGAACTGCACCCCTTTCCCTCAAGGAAGCCCCCTGTGCCACTGTGAGCTTGGTGCTAAACCAGCCCTTGGTGTAAGGGCAGCAAGATGGGGGGGCAGACCCTAAAGGAGGGGGAGCACCCACGGGGCTGGGAAGAGCCTTTACCTTGGAGATGCCCATCTTGGTCTCTTCTTCCTTGATCTCTCCCGTGCTGGTCATCTCAGGGGGACTGTCCAGGGAGCTGGGAAGAGCCTC